GGCAGACTGGAGGAGGGCAAATGTTGTCCCTATTTTCAAAAAGGGGAAAAGAGAGGACCCAAATAATTACCGCCCAGTCAGTCTGACATCAATACCAGGGAAGATTCTGGAGCAGATCATTAAGCAAACAGTCTGTGAGCACCTAGAAAGGAATGCTGTGATCACCAATAGTCAGCATGGATTTCTGAAAAATAAGTCATGTCAGACTAACCTGATCTCGTTTTTTGACAGAATTACAAGCCTGGTAGATGAAGGGAACGCAGTGGATGTAGCCTACCTTGATTTCAGCAAGGCATTTGACAAGGTGCCCCATGATATTCTTGTAAAGAAGCTGGTAAAATGCGGTCTTGACTATGCTACCACTCAGTGGATTTGTAACTGGCTGACTGACTGAACCCAAAGGGTGCTCATCAATGGTTCCTATTCATCCTGGAGAAGAGTGACTAGTGGGGTGCCACAGGGTTCTGTCTTGGGCCCGGTCTTATTCAACATCTTTATCAACGACTTGGATGATGGACTCAAGGGCATCCTGATCAAATTTGCAGATGACACCAAACTGGGAGGGGTGGCTAACACCCCAGAGGACAGGATCACACTTCAAAACGACCTTGACAGATTAGAGAACTGGGCCAAAACAAACAAGATGAATTTTAACAGGGAGAAATGTAAAGTATTGCACTTGGGCAAAAAAAATGAGAGGCACAAATACAAGATGGGTGACACCTGGCTTGAGAGCAGTACATGTGAAAAGGATCTAGGAGTCTTGGTTGACCACAAACTTGACATGAGCCAACAGTGTGACGCGGCAGCTAAAAAAGCCAATGCAATTCTGGGCCTCATCAATAGGAGTATAGCATCTAGATCAAGGGAAGTAATAGTGCCACTGTATTCTGCTCTGGTCAGACCTCACCTGGAGTACTGTGTCCAGTTCTGGGCACCACAGTTCAAGAAGGACACTGACAAACTGGAACGTGTCCAGAGGAGGGCAACCAAAATGGTCAAAGGCCTGGAAATGATGCCTTATGAGGAACGGCTAAGGGAGCTGGGCATGTTTAGCCTGGAGAAGAGGAGGTTAAGGGGTGATATGATAGCCATGTTCAAATATATAAAAGGATGTCACATAGAGGAGGGAGAAAGGCTGTTTTCTGCTGCTCCAGAGAAGCGGACACGGAGCAATGGATCCAAACTACAAGAAAGAAGATTCCACCTAAACATTAGGAAGAACTTCCTGACAGTAAGAGCTGTTCGACAGTGGAATTTGCTGCCAAGGAGTGTGGTAGAGTCTCCTTCTTTGGAGGTCTTTAAGCAGAGGCTTGACAACCATATGTCAGGAGTGCTCTGATGGTGTTTCCTGCTTGGCAGGGGGTTGGACTCGATCGCCCTTGTGGTCTCTTCCAACTCTATGATTCTATGATTCTATTTGGGTCAGGAATTTTTGCCTAAATAGGGTGGCTGAGTATTAATACCACAAGTAAAGAAAAATTGGGACCAGAAGAATATATACAAACTAATGCATATGCTGTACAAAAATATCTTAATGGAATATGGCACCTACTAAAAATAAACAATATTTATGCCTCTTTTTGTACAAATAAAAAAATTACCAAGTTGTATAATATAAATACATCTAAAATCAAGAAACTGAATACATGTGACTCATGAAATAACACAGAGCACACAAAAATGTGAATAAACTGAAAAATTAAAACAATGAACGCTAACAAAACCCTAGTGTTGTTTATTACTTGCATCATAAAACTATTAGTGCCCATCCTAATTAGTTCAGGAAAAGTGAAACATTGGAACTCTCTGCTACAGTGAAAATCTGTAAAATAAATTAGTAATTGTTTAGTCATTCTTAAAGAGAAGTGAGATATACCTGAAGGAGCGTCTCCACCTCCATTGTTCAGCCCGGACACTGAGGTCCAGCGCTGAGGGCCTTCTGGCGGTTCCCTCGCTACGAGAAGCCAAGTTACAGGGAACAAGGCAGAGGGCCTTCTCAGTAGTGGCGCCTGCCCTGTAGAATGCCATCCCACCAGATGTCAAAGAGAAAAATAACTACCAGACTTTTAGAAGACATCTGAAGGCAGCCCGGTTTAGGGAAGCTTTTAATGTTTAATAGGTTATTGTATTTTAGTGTTTTGTTGGAAGCCGCCCAAAGTGGCTGGGGAAACCCAGCCAGATGGGCGGGGGTATAAATAATATATTATTATTATTATTATTATTATTATTATTATTATTATTATTATTAATATTATAATATATTGATATTGAGAAAACACCAGTCATTGCCCACTAATTATGCCAATCTCAATCTCCATCCTCTGCCATTTTATTACTGTCATTGTCCCTGCACTACTGTTTTGTGACCCTCTCAAGTGCTACCTGAGGGTGGAAAGTTTGAGAACCCTTGCAGTAAACAATACTGGATTAGGTGGATCATTAGACAGTTTCCTGCATTCCTGTACTTTTAGTTGAATTATCCTGTAATATCCATGTACTGAACATCTGGACATGCTTACACAAGGAACAACTTGCAACCAGGACATTGTCACAGTTTGCATTTGGCAAGAAAGGGGGGATATTAATTCAAACGGAGACTGGGGTTTTTTGGTGGTCAGGCATTTGTTTCTACAACACACACTGGTGCCATCATATCAAAATATAGCAGTGATTGTAAAAATAAATAGAGAGAGGAATATATCAAGATACTGTATATAAAACCAGGAATTGGATAACAATGTAAAGTCTCTGAAATGCATCTGAAATCACTTAAGTCAAGTGCAAAAATAAGGAATGGGTGAATGGTGAGCCAGCGCTAAACATCTGTTCTGCAGACTTTAAACAAACAAACAAAAAATCTAAAAAATAATGGGGAGGGAGGATTAACTGAATAATGACTTTCTCTGTAATTCATCCACTGCACTGCAAACAAGGCTGCAGTCTGGTAACCTGCTTGCTTCTGAACAAATCTCACTGAATTTGTCAACATCTACAAGTGAAAGTCCATAGAATCAAGCAACACAATAATTTAATTTTTAAAAAAATGTCCAGTAGCGCCTTAGAAACCAACTAAGTTTGTTCTGGGTATAAGCTTTTGTGTGCATGGACACTTCTTCAAATACGAAAGCTTATACCCAGAACAAACTTTAGTTGGTTTCTAAGGTGCTACTGGACAATTTTTTAATTTATTTATTTATTTTGACTGTGTCAGACCAACACAGCTACCTACCTTAATTTTTTTTGCTATAAGCTTGACTAATTTTCTTTTAAAACAATCCAAATTGGTGGCCATCAAACTTGACTACCTCACTCAGGGGCAAACAATCTTTCTGTAATATGTCACCCTGTGTGAGCCCAAAATTTGGCGCCCTCGAAATGGATCTTATCAGTTATATGGATCTTCTCAATTTTACACCCCTTGGCTCAGCTCCCTGTGTGTGGGTACTGCCTATGCCATCCTAAATCCGCTGCTGGCTCACTGCTAACCCCTAACTATAGATAAGCAAGATTAAAAAGCACAAGTCCCATTCCCAATACTGTTCCTTGATGGATTCCACCGTCTACATTCAGCAAATTGTCTGTTCCTATTCTCTGCTTCTTGTTTCTTAACTTAATCCCTATGAGAACTTCTGCTCTTACTCTATAACTGCTAAGCCTTACTCCAGAAGAGACTTTGCTGAAGTACCTTGTCCAAAGCTTTCTTAAGGGCATGTTCACAGTACTACTTCAGAAAGCAGTGCAGTTGCCCCCCACCCCACCCTGCATTTCACAGCTCTTACCCCATTAAAGGGATGCAGGTGGCGCTGTGGGTTAAACCACTGAGCCTAGGGCTTGCCAATCGGAAGGTTGGCGGTTTGAATCCCTGCGACGGGGTGAGCTCCTGTTGCTCGGTCCCTGCTCCTGCCAACCTAGCAGTTCGAAAGCACAAAGTGCAAGTAGATAAATAGGTACCACTCCGGCGGGAAGGTAAACGGCGTTTCCGTGCGCTGCTCTCGTTCGCCAGAAGCAGCTTAGTCATGCTGGCCACATGACCCGGAAGCTGTACGCTGGCTCCCTCGGTCAACAAAGCGAGATGAGCGCCGCAACCCCAGAGTCAGACATGACTGGAACTAATGGTCAGGGGTCCCTTTACTTTTACCTTCACCCCCATTAAGGGTTCACATCAGCATGGCTTCATTAGGGTCAAAATCGTTTCTGTTTCTGTACACGCTAGGGAGCATTGACAGGCATTGATGTTTTTACCCTATACATAGGTATTTTCACCCCTTGGCTAGAGATGACTGAACATGAAGCTGGTTTGAGAAACAACTCAGCGAACAGTAGTATTTTATAATGAAGCAGAGAGAGAGAGAGAGAGAGAGAGAGAGGGAGAGAGAGAGAGGGAGAGAGGTGCATTTTGGATAACGTGGTCGTGTGAACAGGGATTGAAAACCCAGCGCTGGAAATGCAGTGAGCTCAGTGCAAACGGGAGTGTGAACCCAGCCAAAGAGGAAAGTAACAAACTCTGGGCTTGAGGACACTCCCAGAGACCTCTGAAGGCTTACCACGGTTACGCGTTTACGCAGGGAACGGTGCGTCCAACGGTCGCAGGGAACTGTGCACCAACGGTGCGTCCTGCGGTCCTGGCACTGTTGATTGTTTGTTTGTTTGTTTTGTTCTTGGAGGCCTGAGAGGGCTCCAGTGCGACCCATACCCCAAGAGCGATCCAACCACTCCCGGGAAGAAATCGCAGCCTCGCACCCGTCCACTGGGCGAGGCTGGAGGTTGTTCGTGTGGCATCCACGCGCTCTGGGCGCGCGACGCACACTGGAACCGTTGGCTCTTCTCGCCCAAATGGAGACGAAGTGAAGCCCGGGAACCGACGTTGCCTGCCCCACCTGGGATCGCGGCCGTGCCTTTCTCCCTTTTCTGGAGCTTCTGGAGGGAGGGCCGGGGTCAGCGAAGGCGGCTGCCACCAGCACCTGCCTTCGCGAGAGGCAAGGGAAGAGGGAGCCTCTTTTGGAGAGGCAGGCAGAGCTACGCTCCCAGGCGGTGGGACGGCTTGAAGGCGCTGCTGCTGCTGCCGCCTTCGAGGAGGGCTTTGCGGTCTGTCGGCCAGCCAGGCTGCGGTTGGACGGGTGGGGGCAGGCAGAGAGGAGCCTCGGGGGCGGGGATCGAGGGACTCAAAAGCGCGTGCAGAGGCAGCGTGCGCGCAAGGCTGAGCCCGAGAGCAGGAGGTCTCCATCGCGGCGCCGGCTTCTCCTGAGCTGCCCCGACGTGCCATGGCCTCGCTCCTCACCGCCGGCTTGCTGGGGCTTCTGCTGGTGCTGGTGCTGCTGCTGCTGCTGGCTTCTCGCTTCGGCAGAGCGCGGTGAGTGAGCGGTTGGGGTTCGCGGCGGCTTCCACCTGTTCTGGAGGAGGCGAGGTATGGGCTGAGGACGCAGGAGAGCGCCACTCGGCTTCGCTGGAGCTCGCCAGGTCTGGATGTGGCACATTTCTCCTGGGAGATTTATAAACATCTTACCTGCGAGGTCGCCTTAGACCCATGGATGCCCATTCAACTGCTTAAAACGGGCACTGTTACATGTGCCCCTTAATACTCCATCAACATTTGTAAGAAGACGGTATTTTAGGGTGACAGCGTGGCGGTCTACACTTTGGAACTCCCGGCTTATTGACACCAGGCAGGCGCCTTCACTGTACTCTTTGGCACCTGTTAGAAACATGTTTGTTTCAGCAAGCCTATCCAGGCATGTAGAATGTTGGCACGTGTCTTAGCCTAGTTTTTAGCTTATTTTTTATCTTTTGGAATGCTTTAAATAGCCTTTTTTTAAAAAAAAAAAACTGCTTTCACTTATAATTTCATTGCTTTATTCTTTTTGTGAACTCCTTCGAGAGTTGCGTGTTTTCTGTTTCATTTTTTGCTTTTGTATATAATATATGTTTGCAGTATTGGGTTCCATAATGGAACAACGTGGCATAATAAAGTAAAAGGACATAAGGAAATACATAAAATGGGATTGGACCTGAGGCAGGATTGAAGAGGCAAATCAAAAAGTTGGTCTATTATTGAAGGGGGAGCATTTAGTGTTGGTCATTCGTTTTGTATCTTTTTTAAAAAAAATAATAATTTTAGTGTGTTTTAATGCTTTGATTGAACACCATTAGGATAGCTCAGCCAGTAGTGCATGAGACTCTTAATAATGCCATAATCTGTGGGTGCTGGATGTTACTCCTGTGTTTGCATGTGTTTTAACAGATATATCTATCATCTGAAGATAATGCTTAATTAATCTGATGAAGCTGCTCTGGTCTATGACAGTTTATGCCATAAACCAATCTGTCAGTCTTTACCATGTGGCAAGAGTCATCATTTGAGGATCAATAAACGTGCATGACAAAGTAACAAACAGTCTTGTGGTACCTTAAAGACTGTGATGAGGTGGCTGTAGTCCACAAAAGCTTGTTCCATAATACTGTACAGTTGTTAGTCATTCAGATGCCACAGTACAGTGGTACCTCGAGTTACAGATGCTTCAGGTTACAGACACTTCAGGTTACAGACTCCGCTAACCCAGAAATAGTACCTCAGGTTAAGAACTTTGCTTCAGGACGAGAACAGAAATCGTGCTCCGGCGGTGCGGCAGCAGCAGAAGGCCCTATTAGCTAAAGTGGTACCTCGGGTTAAGAACAGTTTCAGGTTAAGAACGGACCTCCAGAACGAATTAAGTTCTTAACCAGAGGTACCACTGTACTCTGTAGCTTTTGCTGCAACAGAGAAACAGGGCTACCCCTCCAGCATATGTGTGCTAGATTTATTTGCCGGCATGGAACCACCTAGAGAACTCAGTTTTATGGGTAGTATACAAATATAGGTTTGTGGATTTGCATCGCGGACATGCCGTCCAAATGTCATTTCCAAGTTTTCTAGATAATATGTACATTTGAGCCGCATTGTCTTCCTGGCCTGCATTTAGCATGTTAATGCATGCATGGAAATAGGATAGAGGCGCAAAGTTATGTAGGGTTGTAGTCAACTAAGTTTTACGCGGGATAGACCCATTGAAATTCATGGACCTAAGTTAGCCATGCTCATAAATTCCATGGGTCTATGCTGAGTAGGACTAGCACTGAATAAAACCTTTTGAGTTTAAAATGCCCAGGAGTCCACTTTTATATATAGAGGGCATCCCTATCCCATCCAGTTCCATTTCTTACCTTGAAGCCAGGGATTGTCCAACCACCAGCATAACAGACAGAAAGACCCTCTGCAAACCATTCGAAATATAGTTGATAAATCTGCTGCATGCAAAGCATTATCAGGAAGGACAGAAGCGATCTCTCTACTGCATGCTGTATATGATGGTGTCCTGTATTGTGGATTTATAGTAAGAAAGAACATGTAAAATATATATTTGTTTACTCGGATAAGTGGAGGTTCTCTAGGGTCTTAGGAAAAAGATTTTCCCGAGCTGTTTCTTGATGTACATTTCAGCAAGCCTGCCAAGAATTAAGCCTGGAATGTGCTTTCCCACTGATGTGTGGTCCCCCCAGAGTATTCTTACCTATCCACAATTCTAAGAGCATTTTGTTCTGGAATGATGTGTCGAGGGAGCTTCTGGAATTTCCTTTCCTGATGCTTCCAAGGAAGCTCAGGGCAGGCAGATGCCAGAGAAGATTGAGATAGGGACGCCTGTTTTCTTATGTTCCTCTGTAAAATGCTATTTACATAGGTGGTACTATACAAATAAATAAAAATCATTTATTAAAACAACTCAAAATCTTAGGGCTCCTTTAAGACTCTCCCTTAGTTTTCTTGCAACAGGTTAACAACGGAAGAGTTTGCTATTACTATTTTCCTCCCCCTCCACCACCTTCTTTAAGAAAATAGCTTTCAGGGTAATGGGCAGCCTAATGCACTTACAGTGCAATCTCTGCATGTATACTCAGAAATAATTCCCACTGAGTTCAATGAGACTTACTTCTGGGAAAGCATGTTTAACACAGAGCACACCCATTGAAATTAATGGCTCTAAGATAGTCATATTCATTAATTTCAGTGGTTCTACTCTAAGCAGGACTAGCATTGGCCACAACCCATAAACCATAATCCTCTTCATGTCTACTCCATGGCAGGTCCAACCTAGTTCAGTGGAGTTTACTTCCAGGTTAACAGTGTAAGGCAGGGGTGCCCAAACTTCTTTCAAATAGGGTCAGATTTGGTGAAGTGAACATGCGTGAGGGCTGAGTGAAGTTGGGTTTTTTTAGGACTGAAGTAGTTGAGCTTTTTTTGGGGATTTTACCCCAGGACATATATTGCCAAAGAGGATGGATTAAATTGAATGGCAGGCCAGATTAGGCCTCCAAAACGGACTTTGGACATGCCTAGTTTAAGGGTGCAATTCTATATTCAGTAAGTCTATTAAACTGAATGAGACTTAATTCAGAGCGGACATGGATATTGTTACTTCCCACCCAATTTTCAAGCAGCTACCTGCACTTACTGAGGTCTTGATTTCCTTGGAATGAATAGCTTTATTTTATACAACCTGAGCATAGGAAGAAGGGTTCCCAGCATTAACGCTCTCATAGATCTAGCTTCCCCTTTGGGTTTTCAGTACAGCCCACAGTCCACCACAGAGCAGCAGCAGCAGCTCACTCACAATTCTGGCTGTTGTTCTCCTATGTAGCAGTTAGGTGAGGAGTGTGGGGGAAAGGCCTACCCCAGGGGTCAGCAACCTTTTTCAGCAGTGGGCTGGTCCACCGTCCCTCAGACCATGTGGTGGGCTGGACTATATTTTGAAGGAAAAAAAATGAACGAATTCTTATGCCCCACAAATAACCCAGAGATGCATTTTAAATAAAAGGACACATTCTACTCATGTAAAAACACGTTGCTTCCCAGACCATCCGCGGGCCGGATTGAGAAGGCGATTGGGCCGCATCCGGCCCCCGGGCCTTAGGTTGCCTACCCCTGGCCTACCCATTTGTTCTGTGGCACAGAGAAACTTCTTTGGTGGTGCTCAACTGAGGTACAGTCATACCTCATGGTACGTTTGCTTCCTGTTACGTTTTTTCAGGTTGCGTCCTGCGGCAACCTGGAAGTACTGGAAAGGGTTACTTCCGGGTTTCACCACTCGCGCATGCGCAAACGCACAAAACGATGCCACGCACATGTGCAGAAGTGGCAAATCGCAACCCACACGTGCACAGACGCGCTGCTGCGGGTTGTGTTCCTTTCATGTTGTGAACGGGTCTCCAGAACGGATCCTGTTCGCAACCAGAGGTACCACTGTACTTAACTGGGCAGCAAAGGCTGGTTTGGCAAGCTTCTTCTTATGCATTCTATCCTCACAAGTACAGGACTTGTTGAGAAGTCTGAGCTTTTAAAAGTATACATAACTGACTTAATGGGTATTATAAGGAAGAATCAGCCGGCGGCAGAAGACTATAAGTTTTGAAAACACTGAAAGGAGAGGATCTGACCACACTCTTGCCATGTGAATTTCACTTCAAGACTGAGCCAAGCTGTTCCTGCCCCATTCCTTGCTGTATGTGTGAGATTATCTGCTCAAAAGATGTTTGTGTTGGCAGTCAGCTTCTGTCATTGTCCCAGTGATCTGCTTAAGGAAGCCCCTAAGGTGAGAAGGGGAAATGCGGCCAGCTGTCTGCTAGCTCCACAAAACCAGCAAAAGAATTCACCAACCCAAACTGGGCAACACATCTCCCTTTTGCACAGGGCACCAGAAAAGCAGAAAGCAGAGGTTGATGGGAGGATTAAGACATTTCCAGTTTGCACATTGAAGTTCAAGGAAGGAGATGGCCAAACAGCACAGGGGTTTAAGATACAATTTCACAACATTTATTTTCTTTTTTGTTTTATTGGAACAACAACAAAAAATTGTTGGTGGTGTGTGTGTGGGGTTGTGCTTATGTGGGGTGTGTGTGAAAGGGTGTGTCTGTGCTTTAGTACTGAGGGAGGGAGGGTTAACTCTTTCTCTCCTGCCATTTTCCAAATCTAAATCACACCAACTCCATACCTGTTATTTGGTCTCACTGAGGGAAAACAGAGCAGAAATAAGAAATTAAATGGGAGGAATGCCTCCCCCTCCTTTTTTAAAAAAAGAGTAATAGTCATGAAATGTAAAATCCTGTAAGCATATACAAAGTGATCTATATTCAAACATTTTTCAATATTCACCAGTCCAACTCTTCAGAACTGTTTGTTAATCTTGAAATAAATTGAAATGTCCCAAACTAGTAGGACAAATAAAGAAGGAAGCAAAGGGGGAGAAATAGCTTTGCTTGCTAGATGCCCTGTAAAGCACTGAAGAAGTGTGCATGCACACGAAAGCTCATACCAAGAACTAA